GAAAATTTGAAATTTTTTTTAAAAAATTCAAGAATTGCTTTTCTGACTAGGTAAAAGCTGATTGAGATATTGTTGTTATGTACCAGTTAATCACATGCATATATCTCAATAAGATGACAAACTTAGGAGGACAGGTTACCTGAGAAAATTGGTTTGTGATATCTTCTGTTGCTTTTGGTAAAAAACAGTTATAAATAACAATTAGAATCTTTTCTTACATGAAGATTAGATTTTAAAGTTGACACATAATACAAAAATCTGAACTGGTCAGAATTACTCTGGAAAATACTTTTTCTCCCCATTAAATTCAGTATTGCCAGCTTTTTCTCTAAATGTTGGAACTAGACCTTTGTTTCTTTAATTGAGCATCAGGTAAAATACACTGCATGTTCTATGACCAAAAGAAGAGAAACTGCTTTGGTTTCTCTCTTTATTAATTTTTTTACTGATTTGCTTACAAAATTCACATACATTGTGTTTCACATTATTTTCATTCACATCGTATTTTATACAATCATTTACATGGATCATTATGTCTTATAAAGTTAATCATCCTTGGATCACCCATCAGTACCCTGTCTTTTCAACCAAATCTTTCCCATTTCCTTCTCCCCTGTCTCCACCCACCAAACTGTGCATCCCTGTAGTTTTGCCCCTACCGATCCTCAGCCCTCCACCTCTTCCCCGTTGAGCTCCCATGCATATTTTACTAGTTATCCTTGTATTTTTACAATAATGGTTTTTTCAGTATTTGTCTTTATAATACTGAGTTAGTTCACTCAGCATAATGCTCTCCAATCTCTCCCAAGTTATGTAGTGTTTTTAAAAATTGTTGCTCCTGAGTGCAGCATACGTATTCCAGTGTGTTAATGTACCACAATTTCTTAGTCCGTTCATTTGTGGTTGGGTATTTGGGCTGTTTCCATGTTCTTGCGATAGTGAATAGCACTGCTGTGAACGTTGGTGTACAAATCTCTGTTTGTGTCTCACTTCTAATTTCCTTGGGATATATTTCCAGTTTTTTTTTTAAATTTTAGAATTGCTAGGTAATACAGAGTTTCTATGTTCAACTTTTTAAGGAAATGCCAAACTGTCTTCCAAAGTGGTTGCATGTCTGTAAACTTTTGTTTTATTTTCTTTGATGGTACTGCCAAATATTTGTTCTCAGTCAGTAGGTTTTCTTGTCACCCTGTTGCAAAAAGTTTTTACTGAGCACAGAAATTTAATCTTTAAAATGTCCCGTTCATTAATTTTATCCTTTCCAGATTGGACATTTCTGGCTGTATTAGACAGTCTCTTTATACCGTAGACCAGGCAGTCTAAACTTGGTCATTTTGTCTTTTATGAACTATATGGTTTTGGGCTTAACTCCCAGGTTTCTGATCCACCTTGAGTTGCTTTCTGTGAGAGGTGAATCCTGTTTAAGCCTTTTGCAGATAGCAGTCCAGGTTTGGCAGCACCATACATGCTGAAGTCCACTCTCCATGGCAGTGACATGCACAATGACAAGTATGGAGGGACAAAGACAACTTGGGAAGAACTTATGTTCTTGTATCTTATCTTACACTTGCTCCAGAGCATGGTTAGTTGAAGGTACTGTGTGCAGCACTTGCCACATTATTTTCTCTTCTTATCCCAAACAATTCAGCATACCTATCAATCAGTTCTGCTACATCACTCAGTTACTATTAAATTTGATTACTCCACTCAGCAAAACATACAGCAAAAGAACTTAACTTGAGTGAACTAATTCAATCTTATAAGGACAAATACTGCATAAGACTATTATTATAAAAATGGAAGGATTACTAGTAAAATATATACAGGAACTCAAGAGGGGTGGGGTGGGGTGGGAACAGAGGGGTGAAGATGGATAGGGGAAAAACCATAGGGTTGCATAGTTTGGTGGGTGGAGGGAGGGGATGAAGGAAATGTGAAAGATCCAGCAGAAACCTGAAAAGACGGGGTAATGATTAATCACCACTGGTGATTAATTTTATAAAACAGGGGACAAGTACCTGGCCAATTGACTGGAAGAGATCCATATTTATTCCCATTCCAAAAAAAAGTGTCCCGACAGAGTGTGGAAATTATCATACAATATCAGTCATATCACACTCAAGCAAAATGCTGCTGAAGATTATCCAGAAACAACTTGAACTACCAGAAATAAAAGCTAGATTAAGAGGAGGCTGTGGCACAAGAGACATTATTGCCAATGTCAAATGGATCTTGGCAGAAAGCAGACTACCAGAGGGATAGCTGTGTTTCATTGATTATGCAAAGGCATTTTACTGTGTAGATCACAACAAATTTTGTTAAACCTTGATGATAATGGGAATCCCAGAACACGTGGTTGTGCTTATGCAAAACCAGGAAGCAGTCCCCAGAACAGAGCAAGGAAACACTGTTGTTGTTGTGTGCCATCGAGTCATCTGCAACTCATAGCGACCCTATGTACAACAGCCCTAAACTCTGCCCTATCCTGTGCCAGTCTCACCAATCTCTGACACACCTACCGCGATTACCCCAGTCACTGAATTAATCCATCGCATAGAGGGTCTTCCTCTCCTGTGCTGTCTCTCCACCCTCCCAAGCATGATGTCCCTCTCCAAGGACTGGTCCCTCCTTGCAACATGTCCAGAGTATGTCAGATGAAGCTTCAGAATCCTTGCCTCCAAGGAGCAGCCCAGCTTCAGAAAGGGAGTGCATCAAGGATGAGTTCTGTCTCCATACCTTTTCAGTCTATGTGCAGAGCAGATCATTCAGGAGACGGGGCTTTGTGAGGAGGAGTGTAGCATCAGGATTGGAGGAAGACTTATCAACAGCCTATGTTATGCAGATGACACAACCTTGCTAGCTGAAACTGAGGAGGACCTGAAGCTCTTGGTGCAGAAGGTCAAATACTGTAGTCTTCAATATGGGTGATTCAAGCTCAACATCAAATAGAAAGATTCTAACCACTAAGCCAATTGGCAGCATCATTATAGATGGGGACGAGATAGAGGTTGTTAACAGTTACAGCTTCCTCCATTCCACAGTCACCATTCATGGCACCAGCCATCAGGAAATCAAAAGACGAATTGCTTTAGGTAAATCTGTGCTCAGGGACCTTTCCAGAGTACTGTGGAGCAACAATGTCAGTCTACAGACTAAAGTGTACTTGATCCAGTCCATGACCTTTGCAGTTATTTGTGCATCAGAGAGCTAAACCTTGACTAAGGATGATAGAAGAAGAATTGATGCCTTTGAGTTGTGCTGGAGAAGAGTCTTGAACATACCATGGACTGCCAAGAAAACAGATAGATCTGTCTTGGAGAGAGTTAAACCATGTTTCTCTTTGGAGCCTAAGATTTTGAAGCTCCATCTTATACTCTGGGCATGTGGCCAGGATCCTTGGAAAAGAACATCATGCTCATGGAAGAGTGCAAGAGAAGAAGACCTTGAATGAGATAGATTGGTATAGTAACTGGGGCAATGGAGGTAGGTGTGTTGGAGTCAGTGAGACTACCTCAGGAAAGGCTTTAGAGCTGTTGTGCATAGCATCACTGTGAGTTGCAGGTGACTTGGCAGCACCTAACAATAGCAATGCATGGGAATGACTGTATGAATCACAATGTGAATACAGAATAGTGTGAAACACAATGTGTTCATACTTCTTAAGCAAACTAATGTAAAACTTTATAAAAGTATATAAGGAGTGCAAATAACATGAAGTAGCAAGAGTGATCCTTATTTATTAATGGGTTCAGTTTTTGCAGAATATTCCTTTTTTTTTTTTTTTAGAATATTCCTTTTTAAAAGCTGTTTAAGTACATGATACAGCAAACTTATAATTAATGGGTTTTTATGCAGTCTCAGGTACAGCTTACAGTAAAAACAGAATAAAAGTATACCCTTCCAGTTTGGGCTAAAGTACCTTTTGATTATGGCTCATTTTGTTATGATAGGAGACCTATGATAAATGAGAAAGAGATGTGTTCGCTAACTGAAAGGTTTTATCCTATGCTTTGAGTAATGACTTGTATTTCTGACCAAGGAATTGATTTCTAATAAAGCAGATTGTTAGAAAATGTATCATATATGTTGTTTATTGAATTTGATACTAGAGGCTTTATTTTTTACATGGTTAAGCAACTAAAATAGGTTTCTGCAAAAGAAAGAAGACAACAATCCAGTAATTTTAAGTCCTTTATTTGCCATCTGAGGAAGAGAAAAATTATTGAAGAGCATGCCACAAATCATAATTCTCATAATAAAATGTTAAAAATTAAGCATTCTTTAAGGAATTGAGGCCTCAAACTTCTTATATGGCATGACACTATTTGAGAATGTTTGAGGAAGTTTCTGAAATACTGACTTGTCAGATTAGTCATCTTGGGTATTGTTTATTAAGAGACTATCCTGCACATCATACCTGCTCGATTGTAAATCATAATGCTTTTTGGATTCATATTTCTTTCTCACTTCCTCCCCTTTTATTTGATCAAATGAATAAAACAATAAAAGGAATTACCAGCAGGAGGCAAGAATCACCTCTGGTGTTTCTTCCATAGTCTTCTCTTCTTCCCCTTACAAACACAATTCAGTACTGCTTTAGGACAAGAATATGTTCTGTTGTAAGCAGAACCTAAGCAGTTGATTATGCAGTAACTTATCCTTTGGATGTCCGTGAGTTGGAGAATACCTGCCTTTCCCTCAGTGTTTGACACAGGGCCAGCAGTTAGTATATACTGTATGCACTCTTGTGTCATTGGGGGTGGAGGTCTGGTGGCAGTGCTGGAAAAGTACAGATAGAGAGAGACAAAACTGTAGTGTGTGTAATCCTAATAAGCCTTATTCCGCTATTTTGTATGTATTCTAAAATCTCATTCATTAAGCAGGCTAATTTGTAATTCTGCATCTTATCAGTTTTCCAGAAACCATATAAAATTCATGATAATGCATTAAATTTTATTTATTTTCATTAGTAACATATTTTTTATTATTTTCTTTTATAGGAGGAAACACAGTCATTACTAGAAAACTTGCATGTTTACCATACAAATTACTTCTTGGTTTTGAGATGTCTTCATAATTTCACTTCTTCCCTTCCCAAGTACCCTTTGGGCCGACAGGTAATCACTGCTCCCTCATTTGAAACTGTGAAACAAATATAATTCATTAGTTTCTTGCTTTGATTTTTATGGCATTGCAAGTGTCAGAATTTGAAATGGATCTAAATCTTGGATAAAGAGCACAGTCTAAATCCATTCCTGCTGTATACATTACTGGTAAAGAAACAGTGTTTTTTGTTCTGAATGCCACAGCTAAAGAGAACCACATTAGTCCTAGTGGTATTATTTCCCCTCAGTGTATTTGTGGAAGGCATTTCACTTTCCTTTCTTAATGCTCCTTTGTCATCTATACTGAGAGAGCTGTTTTTCCACCCCTCGTGGACTGAATAGAAACAGAACTATGTAAGAATGTTTAATGGAAGCCCTGAATAAGCAAAGCACTCCTTAAAAATAGAAAAAAGGTAGGAGGTATCTCACTCCCTGATTTCAAATCCTGCAACACTGCTGTGGTGGTCAAAACAGTGTGGAACTGGTACAATGACAGACACATAGATCAATGGAATAGAATTGAGAACCTGGATATCAGCCCATCTATCTGTGGTCAACTGATTCTTGACAAGGAGATGAAAATCAGTTAAGTGGGGAAACGACAGCCTTTTTAACAAATGGTGTGGCAAAACTGGAAAACTATCTGCAGAAGACTCAAGCAAGATCCACACCTCACTCCATACATAAAAACCAACTCTAGGTAGATCATGGACCTAGGACTAAAACCAAGGGCACTAAACTTCATTAGAGAAAAGCTTGAAAGAACTCAACAAGTCCTAATCCACAACGTAAACAGTCTTCCAAGCATCGTGAAAAATCTACAACCAGAAGAAGATAAAATAGATCAATGAGACCTTCTAAGAATCAAATCCCTATGCACATCCAAAAACTGCCACAGACTGGGAAAAAGTATTTGGTAATGATATGTCAGATAAGAGATTTATATCTAGAATTTATAAAATACTTGAGCACAACAAGATAAAGGTAAACAATTCAGTTGAAAAATGGACACAGAATATGAATAGACACTTCACCAAAGAAGACACTCAGATGGCCAACAAGCACATGAAGAAATTTTCAAAATCCCTAGCTCTAACAGAGATGCAAATCAAAACAACTATGATATTTATCATCTCACCCCAGTCAGAATAGCAAAATTTAACAGAACAGCAAGCAACAAATGCTTGCAAGGTTGTGGAGAAACTAGAACCCTTATTCATTGTTGGTGGAAGTGTAAAATGGTGCAACCCCTGTGGAAGGTGATATTGCTCTTTCTCAAAATAGAGATACCATTTGACCCAGCAATTCCACTACTGGGAATATACCCCAAAGAGACTATAACTGGCATCCAAGTAGATACATGCACATTCATGTTTATTGCAGCTTTGTTCACAATAACAAGGAGTTGGAACAACCTAATTGCCCATCAACAAATGAATGGCTAGAGAAACTGGTATATTCACACAATGGAATAATATTGCACTGCATTGAAAAACAAGGAACTTATGCACTATTATTCAAAATATGTGACCCAGGTGGACATTATGCTGATTGAAATATCTCAGTCACAAAGGGACAAATACTGCATAGTGCCACTGTTGTAAAACAAGACTGGCATCGGGGTTAGGGGGAGACTGAGAAAGATGGGATAGATAATGTTAACTGCATTCAAATAGATGAGGGAGAAAACTGTTTAAAAGGGATATGCAATTAGGTATAATTGTAATGGCAGGAGTCCAGAACTAAGGCTGCATAGTGGGGTAGACCTGGGGAGAGGGATTGTAAAATAATGAAATATTTTTTCTTTACTTTTCAAAGAGGAGTGGACTGGGGGGGAGGGCGGAGTAGGGAGAAAAGTGCAACAATGAATGAATGGAAATCCAAAGTCTCTGTAAATTTTCATTAAAATTAATAATAAAAAAATTTTTAAAAGAATGTTTAATGGTTAACCTTGCATTATATCAAAAACTAAAAGACACCACAACAAGATAAAGGTAAATAATCCAATAGAAAAATGGTCACACTCCTGGACACAAGAGCCTACTATTTGATCCTAAAAGCCTTCTGAGGTCCCAACTCTTCACACTATTTCTTAGTTGTTGGAATTGACAGAAAACCTCATAAGCAGTTACTTACTTCACCTCTGCCTTGCATCTGGACTTCAGAGTTGTAAAACAACCCAGCTGTAGATGGAATTTGGTCCAGGACTTAAGAACAATAAATGACATAGTTGAGCCTCTACATCTTATAGTTCCTAACCTTTATACTATAATAGACAAAGTGCTAGTCAATAGGCCTTTTATG